ACACAGAAAGTCTCCCCCAGGGACTCAGTCCTTATCAGGACCCTCTCCCCAAAGCCCCTCACCCCCAAGTGGGAAGGACCATACACAGTCCTCCTTACCACTCCATCAGCTATAAGAGTTGCTGAAATCCCATCTTGGGTCCACCTGTCTCGGGTAAAAAAGGCCCCTCATGGACCCTCCCTATGCTGGAAGGCTGTTCCTACTGGCCCTTTATCTGTCAAACTTACCAGGGCCTAGCAGCCACACCCCCTATAGATGGAGATTCTTCCTAACTGAAAACTATACCAAAACCACCTTCATTTGTAATACCCCCCCATACAGCCACAACCATCTTCTTGCAACTTCCGACTGCCCCGCAGCCGGATGCCAAAGGGCCATATATCTGAACTTCACCAAATTCCACAACATCCATACTAATATACCTCTCATGTGCTTCAACCATGACCAACCATCAGGAGCATGCAATAATACTCCTTGGCGCTCCTGCATGGGATGTACTTGGATGAACTGTCGACTACATATAGCCGTCAAGTCCACAGTACCTGCCCGATCTCAGCTCAAAATCATCCCAGACATAGATGGAGAAGGAAACAACATTATCGGTTCTACACGGTATTCCATTCTCATACCTGACCCCTGGGACAACTGGTGGAAAAGCCCCCAGAAAGCTGCCGTGTATGACCACATAGATACCAAATATCTCTCTTCCCACCTGTACATCTGGCGGACATACGTACGTACAGTCCACCAAGTCCACTCTGATATTAGCCTACAAGAAAAATCTCTGAATGACCAATTACAACCACATTCGTCTCTGTTTTCCTGGTTAACTTTTCTCCAAGAAGGAATCAAGTTAGCTAACCTCTCAGGACTAACTGACCTAACCTCATGCCTCATGTGTGCCTTCTTAGGACAGACTCCCTTCGTTGCAGTCCCTTACCCCATCCCTCTCAACCTTTCAGCCTCAACTTCTTCCTTCTCCCCCATCAGGGAAGTCGATCTCTACACTCCACCTGATTTTGAACAGCTACCTGTGTGCTATTCCCTAGGCCGAAACTTCCCTAGCTGTAATAGAACTATACAGGTAACCACTAATATAACAGCCCCACGAGGAACGTTTTTCTGGTGTAACAGGACCTTAACAAAAACTCTCTACATCGGTCTTTCCTCATCTCTTTTATGCCTCCCTGTAACCCTAGTCCCTCGACTCACTATATATTCTTCAGCCGTATTCCAGATGCTGCAAGCTCCCCATTGCTGCACCCGACGAGCTGCCTTCCTACCCATTGCCGTTGGAGTCTCCCTTGCTGGTTCAGCACTTGCAGCAGGATTGGGAGGAGGGGCACTAGTCCACTCTCACCTGGCCATAGCCCGACTGACCTCACAACTCCAAGCAGCTATTGATGACTCTACTGAGTCTTTAGCATCACTCCAACGACAGATCACCTCAGTTGCCCAAGTTGCCTTGCAGAACCGAAGAGCCCTAGACCTGCTCACTGCTGAACGAGGAGGGACCTGTATCTTCCTACAAGAAGAGTGCTGTTACTACATCAATGAATCCGGCCTAGTAGAAACCTGAGTCGAGAGCCTCCAGAAACTCAAAACTAACCTGCAGAGTCAGAAGTTCTCGGCTGAAGCCACAGCGTGGTGGTCTTCCTCTATGTATACCCTCTTGTCCCCATTGCTTGGGCCCCTAGTAGCCATTTGCCTAATCTTACTTATTGCTCCTTGCTTTCTACAGTTCATAGAGCGGCGCTTTCAGGAACTGACTCGAGTCACCATCCACCAGATGCTGCTCCAACCCTGCCCTGAATGAGTGCAAGAAACAGACCTCTCCCTGAACATCCAGGCTCCTTAGGAAAAGAGACCTCTTCAGAACCCCCGTCGACCCTTGTCAGCAGGAAGTAGCCAGAGAGACAACCGACGCCCCTGACCCCTCTTTTTCTTTTCTTTAAGGAGTCGGGAATGTTTGGAAATCTCTGCCTCTACCTTGAAAGCTCTCTCTCTCTTCCCCCCCCACAAAGAGGCTCTCCTATTTTTACAAACCGCCCTGGCCTTCTCGCCGCTGAAGCCACCTCCTGCCACTTCTGCCTTATCAGCACTCCCCCCGCCGCTTCTGCCTCATCAGCACTCCCCAGTTTCCCACCGCCCGCCCGGTTTCTGCCTCATCAGCTCTCCCCGGCTTCCCGCCGCCCGGCTTCCCGCCGCCCGGCTTCCCACCTAGCGGTTCAAACTGGCCAACAGTTGCCCACCACCTAGCCCCCAACTCTTCCTCTCCTCCAGCCCTTCTACCCTTATAAGACAACCCTGCCCCTCTGGGTGGCATGGCCATTTTTCCTTTTCGTCCCGGCTGGCACGCCCGGAGGCTCTTTCCTCTCAATAAAGCCTGAACTTAAGAACTTTCTTCTTGCCTGCGTTCCGGTTTTTTCCGAATGAGCTCAGTCCTCCCGCAGAGGGTAGGTCGCACACCCACCATTTTCACTGGCTGGGGGGACACTTTGCACGTTTTACACATATGCTGCAGGAAGTGGGTGTGGGGCCCGATAGGCCTTTGGGAAAGGACAGGTGCCGAGCCCTGCATGTGAGCCCTCCCACCCCATCACCCAAATAGAGGGAAATAACCAAAAAACTACCAAACAACAACAACAACAACAACAACAAAAACCCACACTATAGACTGAAACCCCAAAGTGGGTTTGATGGGTGGGTTTGTGTCTCAAGGGGAAAGTGAGGCAGAGTTTCTGAAAAGGGTCTCTGTTTCTGGGTTCATGTGGCCATAGGCACATGGAGCAGAATACTGAAGCCTGGCCCCCAAATGCCCTGCACACACATGCCACACCTGTGCTGATTCTTGTGTGTGCTGCACCCCACGGATATGTGGGTGCCTGCTGAGCTTTGGGCTGGGAAGGCAGCCTGGGGAATCTGAGGCTGGGGACAGGTTTGAAGTGAGGGCCTCTCTGAAGCACATTTGGAGAGAAAGACAGAGCCATGAGGAGAGGGCTGCAGAGGGCGGAAGGGCTAGGCAGGGGCAAATCGGGCCCCTCCCTTCCCCAGCTTTTCTCTAAGATATACAGTGCAATAGCTCCCCGCCCCTCGGTTGATGCCAGCCCTGTAAAGCTGGCCACAATGTGCAGGGAGAATGGGGAGAGGGTCTTCAGTGAGGTGGCTCTGGGCGAGAATCGGCCTGGACCTCCCTGGGGTGATCCAGGCAAGAGCTCTTTCATGGGGGCAAGTGTGGTGAGTGTCCTTGGCCTTGCATGCACACTACCTGGGGGAGCGGACACTGGGATGGTCTGTGGGGTGGGAGGTCCATGGAGGGCCCACCTCCCTCATTCCACCTGGGCCTCTCCCTAGCTTCTCCTGTTAGCTCCTTCTGCTCCTGACCCCACCTCCTTGCTCTTGGTGCCCCCATTGTCTCTCGCTACCTCCTTGTCCCACCACCTCCAGGCCGCATCCCACCTTCCCTCTTGGCTACTGTAATTGTAAATAGTGACTTTGGAAAATTTAGCGGTGTAACAGTCCAGGAAACTGTTTTTTGTTGTTGTTGTATTGATGTGAAATGAGATTCTATTTTTGTCAAAGTATATTTTAATAATAATGACTCAAACGGCCAAAAAAAAAAAAAGAAAGAAAAAGAAAAGGCAAATCTGTTACTGGCCTTAAAGTGGAGGTAGAGAGGAAGATCAGAGTAGAAAGTTCATTCAAGGAGATAATAAAGGTAACTTCCCAAACCCAGAGAAAGAGATCAATATTCAAGTATAAGAAAGTCCCAGAACGCCAAGCAGATTTAACCCTGATAAGACCATCTCAAGATATTTAATAATCAGACTTCCAAATGTCAAAGATAAAGAAAGCATCCTAAAAGCAGCAAGATACAAGAAAAAGATAACACAACAAGGAGCTCTAATACATCCGGCAGTAGATTTCTCAGTGGAAACCTTCCAGGCCAAGAAAGAATGGCATTACATATTTAAAGTGCTGAAGGAAAAACTTTTATTCTAGAATATTACATTCAGTGAAAATATCCTTCAAACATGGAGAAATAAAGACTTTCCCAGACAAACAAAATCTTAGAGATTTTATCAACACCAGACTTATCCTACAGGAAATGTCAAAGGGAGTTCTTCAATCTGAAAAAGAAGGGAGCTGGTTCACACTTCACCTATAAAGATGCACATAGATAAAAATAAAGGGATGGAAAAAGATACTTCATGCAAATGAAATTCCATGCAAATTGAAAAGGACAGGAGTAGCTATACTTATATAGATAAAGTAAAGTTCAAGATAAAAACGATAAAAAGAGACAAAGAAGGTCATTATATAATGATTAGGAATTGATTCAGCCAGAGGATGTACCAATTATAAATAAACCTACACCCATCCCTGTAGCACTGAAATATATAAAGCAAATATTATGAGAGCTAAAGAGAGAGATAGACCCCAGTGCAATGGAATAATAGTTGGAGACTTTAACATTCCACTTTCAGCATTGAGCAGATCATCCAGAAAGAAAATCAACAAAGAAACATCAGACTTAATCTGGACTATAGACCAAATGGACCTAACAGATATTTACAGGATAACTCATCAAATGCCAAAGAAGACATATTCTTTTCCTCAGAACATGGATTATTCTCAAAGATATACCATGTGTTAGACCACAAAACAAGTCATAAACATTTCCAAAAAAATGAAAATTATATTAAGTATCTTATCTGACAAAAAAGAAATAAAATTAAAAATAATGAGAGGGCCAGGCGCAGTGGCTCAAGCTTGTAATCCCAGCACTTTGGGAGGCCGAGGCGGGTGGATCACGAGTTCAAGAGATCAAGACCATCAACTTGGTGAAACCCCGTCTCTACTAAAAAAAAAAAAAATACAAAAATTAGCTGGGCATGGTGGCACATGCCTTTAATCCCAGCTACTTGGGAGGCTGAGGCAAGAGAATCGCTTGAACCTGGGAGGAGGAAGTTGTGGTCAGCTGAGATTGCACCATTGTACTCCAACCTGGAAGAACGAGCAAAACTCTGTCTCAAAAAAAAAAAAAAAGGCTGTTAACATTTTGGTATTGGGAGATTATAGAAACAAAATAATTACAGAGTATGATACATTTCAAAATCTCAAAGTATGAAACCTAGAATAAAAAATGTTCAGAGAGATTCCAGCATGTTCATAGCATGTGTACAGATGGCTTTTAATGTTAGCTAAAAGTATTGTATTGGTAAGTATTGATGATAAGTATTAACTTATGTTTGTTTCTTTTCATGTAGTAAAAGAATGTGTGGATCATTTAAGTAGAGATGAGGATGAAGAGAAACTTGTAGCCTCATTATGGGGAGCAGAGAGATGTTTACGAGTTTTAGAAAGTGTAAGTATGGATGACAATTTGGCAAAAAGTATTCAGTCTTGATTGTGAATGCCTGTGTAAGAGAGAGACTGCCAGATATTTTATATACGCCTGTGGGGTTCACTTCTGTTAATCTATCCAGATAGAAATTGCAGTACCTTTATTTTAGCAACCAGTTGTGATTAAACAAGTGAAATGAGCAGTTTTTGAAGAGTACCTGTATTACTGCTGCAAATGAAAGGTCAGGCTTGTTTATATATACCAATCTTTTTTCTTTAAAATTTTATTTTTTTGAGCCAAAATGTCGGTCTGTCACCCAGGCTAGAGGGCAGTGGTGTGATCTTGACTCACTACAGCCTCCACTTCCTGGGTTCAAGCAATTTTCATGTCTCAGCCTCTAGCTGAGATTACGGGTGTCTGCCACCATGCCTTACTAATTTCCGTATTTTTAGTAGAGTTGGGGTTTCACCACGTTGGACAGGCTGGTCTCAAAACTCCCAGCTTCAAGTGGACTGCCAGCTTCGGCCTCCCAAAGTGTTGGGATTACAGGCATGAGCTACCTTGCTGAGCCCCTCCAGTCTTTATTGTTTTTTCCTTAATGTGAGTTTCTGCTTGAGTATATTGTTTGCAGATAACAATAGCTAAATGTGGTCAGGTTTTATTTTTAAATTATTATTAGCATTTGGTTTATTTGACTTTTATTTGAGTCAGATTTTTTTTTTTTTTCCTTCAAAGTTTTTTTTTCATGTCGGTCAGGCTGGTCTTGAACTCCCAACCTCAGGTGATCCACCCATCTTGGCCTCCAAAGTGCTTGGATTACAGGCGTGAGCCACCATGCCTGGCCTGCATCAGATTGTTTATAAGCACGGTTTGTCATGATATTTGGCTTTGGAAAATGATACTGTTGAACTGCAGTAAGTGTATTTTGTTCTTTTACTCTTATGAAGGACTTTAACCGAGTTCCATATAGATTAGAATTTATGTTGCCAGCTAACTTCAGAATGTATGGATTTGTTCACCAGTTTATTTTAAAAGCATTTGTGGGGGAAAATAGTGTAGTATAAATTAAAAACTTCTGGCATAGATTAAATGGTAATTATTCCGTGTGTCTTCTACAGTTCTTTGGGAACAGTAGATAACAGACATTTCCATGTAAAAATGTATTCTAAATGAATCTACTTAAGAGCTTTGTTATTTGCTTGCTGTTTGTTATTTGTTAAATTAAGGACTGCTCTGTTCTGACATTCAATGTGAGGCAGTTCGTTACAGTGAATATATAGTGTAAAATATGAATGAATAATAACAGTGATGTCTTAATTTTTTCACAAAACATTAGCTTTCTTATTTTACATCTGGAACCTGTGGGTTGTGAAATTATTCCCTTAGACAACAAGGACTGTTTTTTTCCTCATCTTTTTATCTTTTAGGGACCAGGCAGAGTGTGATATGTGAATGAAAGTTTTGGATTGCCACAATTATTTTATATTCTTCCCTTTTAGGTAATTGTGCTTAATCCTGAAAATCAAAGCTACTTGATAGCATATAAAGATTCCCAACTTATTGTTTCATCAGCTAAGTAAGTTTTTTGTTTATTAGCTAACAACTAACACTATTTATTTTAAACATTTGGATTGACCACAAATGAAAGAAATTTGGATTAGCTTCCTTTATGAAATACTCTATTGAGTTCAATGAATTGGTGCATATTGTATAACTAAAGTTTTAAGAGTACAGATTTTGGACACAATATGACTGGATTCCAGCTTGATAATTTCAGCTGTATAACTTTTATAATGTACAAATCAAGCTCTTTACAAAGGGGGTAAATAATTGTATCTATGAGCTGGGTGAGGTGGTCATGCCTGTCATCCCAGCACTTTGGGAGGCCGAGGCAGGTGGATCACGAGGTCAAGAGATCGAGACCATCCTGGGCAACATGGTGAAACCCTGTCTCTACTAAAAATACAAAAAATTAGCTGGGCACGGTGGCACATGCCTGTAATTCCAGCTACTCAGGAGGCTGAGGCAGGAGAATTGCCTGAACCCAGGAGGCAGAGGTTGCAGTGAGCTGAGATCACACCATTGCACTCCAGCCTGGGTAACAAGAGCGAAACTCCGTCTCAAAAAAAAAAAAATTAAAAAAAAAATAATTGTATCTAACCCACTTAGGATTGTTATTCCAATAAAATGAGTTAATTTATATATTTGCAAGAAATATATTCTTAAATAGATACTTTAAAATGTGTATATTAAAAATATATATAAAACATTTTTAAGATTTAAATTATTTAAAAAGTATCTTTTGTATATTATGTATGATACATATTAATGAGTTAAATTAGTTAATATGCAAAGCCTAGAACAGTACTTGGCATATAATAAATACTGAGCATTTGTCCTCATTCTTGTTTTAAATGGACTTTTCTAGCCCTCTTCTGTACTTTAGACTTGTTTTTCCATATCTGTATATAACTTCTATTTCACATTCTCTGTTCCCACACATATTTCATCACAATTAGGCTAATGCTGTCACCTCTGTGCAGGTAAAATTCCCAAGTATGTCTCCAGTCCTGGTTGTATCTTATTACAGCAGCCTCTTCATGATATCTCTGTCCTAGTTCTTAATATCTGCCCTACTTCTCTGGCCTTTAGCCTAGAACAGTAACACATGAAGTTAACTTTCCCAAATCTCTGATTGCTTATTGTCTTTGGATATAGGTGCAACTTTCTTATTAAAGGAAGTCGGCCTTATCAAAGGCCCATTGCAGTCTGATTCTGATTTATCTGTTTTTTAACCTCTTATTTTAGAGGATTTCAAATATAAATAGTGTAATAAGCTGTTATGTACACATTATCAGTCATGGCCAGTCTGGTTTTCATCTATAACCCCATCCATTCCCCGTCTTGTATTATTTGAAACAAATCCAGATATTATCATTTCATCCATAAATACTTAAGTATACAATGTCTGAAAGAAAATGACTTTTAAAAAATATAACCCAATACTATTTTCATACCACTGATTATCTAGTTGCTTACTATTTTATGTTTAGTCAATATTCTAATTTTCAGTAATCTTAAATTTCTAGTCTCAATAGATTTTCTTAATCTATAGGTTTTTAAAATCTCCTTTTTTCGTCTTACATTTGTACATTTTTTTTGTCTTCCTCCAGAACATTTGTGGACTTGATTGCATTTCTACATTTTGTATCTTTCAATGGTATATTTTGCTTTTATTTATTTATTTTTCTGAGATGGAGTCTCTGTTGCTCAGGCTGGAGTGCAGTGGCATGATCTCGGCTCACTACAATTTCCACCTCCTGGGTTCAAGCAATTCTGCCTCAGCCTCCTGAGTACCTGGGACAGGCATATGCACCACACCCAGCTAATTTTTGTATTTTTATTAGAGATGGGGTTTCACCATGTTGACCGGGCTGGTCTCAAAGTCCTAACGTCAGGTGATGCCACTCTCCTCAGCCTTCCAGAGTGCTGGGATCATAGGCATACCTGGCCTATTTTACATATATATTTAGCATTCTTTTTTAAAAAATAGATACAATGTCTTGCTATGTTGCCCAGGCTGTTCTCAAACTCCTGGGCTCAAGTGATCCTCCCACGCTGACCTCCCAAAGTGTAGGGATTATAGGCATGAACTACTGTGCCCTACCTATATAGTTAGTGCTCTTACCACATGCATTCTGCTTGTTTGCTACCATGTTTTACCCTTTCTTGCCAAAGATTATTGAAGTTAAATGTTTCTGATTTCATTTTTTTTAAATTGACAAATAAAAATTGTATATGTTGTTTCTGATTTAAAAATATCTCTTGTGTATACTTCATTCCCTCCAACAAGTGCCTTGTAAATGGAAGTATTTAATATGATACATTTTAGCTCTTTTGTTATGATTAGGAAGTTCAGGCCAAATGTCTTGGAAGTGACGGTAGAGGTCAGAATTGTTTGTAAAAGAGCACTCATCTCTAGATTTTAAGCTTTTCAGCAGAAACCATGATCAATGCAGGGGTAGCATAAAGATTAAATAACATATGCTGAACCTCCTTTTATCTTCAAAGCCCTAGTTTAGCTCAGTCTAAAAACAGTTGAGTTACCAATGGCAGTATGGTAATCCTGACAAGCATTCAATACCAGAAGTACAAATTATTTTAGGTTACACATGAGGAACACCTTCCTGACCAAAGGGTTGTAAAATATTAGGAAACCCTTACAGAATTTCCTCAATATGTTTTAAAGGGCAACTAGGCATAGATTAGATATGATTTTTTAAAGAATCTTGTATCATTTTACATAATGCATGAAGAATCAACTGACAGAGACCGCTTACTTGATTTGTATTAAACTTAAAAATAGTGGACTTGGTGATTTAAACAGTGTCTTTAGAAATACTAGACCCATTTAGGGATTATATTTCCTTGTTATTTTGGGTAGTATCTTGAGAATACTTGGATGTAGCTCATCCCCTTGGATAACTGGCAAGGAGACATGTCAGTTTGACCTTCAATTAAAAAATAATGATTATACTGTAGCATTGATAGTTAAGATAATAATTATTTGCTCTAATGCATATGAAGTATTTAATACTTGTCTTTACATTAACGTTTGTTGTGTAATAATGGCAATAACATTTACTACCTCAGAAGTGTTCAACATTAGCTCTTAATCATTTTCCCTGTTTGAGAAAGGGTTGTGGTCTGTCTGATGAAGAGATCAATAACATGAGAGACAACTTGGAAATAAAGAGATTACTAGAGTAAATGTAGGTAGCACAGATAGAAACTTCTGCCACTAGTGTTTAATTTTTAACATTCCTTGGGTAGTTTTTTTAAGGTATCAGGTTTTTCCAAAATAAAGGGAAGTTTTATCTGATAGCCTTTAGGTTCAAGTAAATAGAAATAAGTTGTGTACCTATTATTTACTATAATAGTCTATATTTTATTTTCTCTTAAGAGCATTACAGCATTGTGAAGAACTGATTCAGCAGTACAACCGCGCTGAGGACAGCATATGCTTAGCTGACAGTAAGCCTCTGCCTCACCAGAATGTAACCATGTGGGCAAAGCAGTGGAGGACTGCATGAGGGCCATCATTGGGGTGTTGCTCAATTTAACTAATGATAATGGTAAGATTTTTTTCCATGTTTTTCTCATTGAAAGATGTATGTTGCATGTGAAAACAAGTTATTTTTCTTTGTTTCTCCTTTTCTTGGTGTAGTGATTTTTTGATTTGTCTTAATGTACTTATGTATAGGTTTAAAAATCGCTTTTAAGAGTTGATATTTCTATAAGCCTAGTATCTTGACCTGGAAGTATCAACAGTATGTTTCAATAGAGGAATGACTATACAATCCTAAGTTAATATCCATGTTAATAAAACTATTACTGTCCTAAGGCAGAATCAGTAACAATTTTCCTATATATATTTCTTATTTCAGAGTGGGGCAGCACCAAAACAGGACAGCAGGATGGTCTCATAGGCACAGCGTTAAACTGTGTGCTTCAGGTTCCAAAGTACCTACCTCAGGAGCAGAGATTTGATATCGAGTGCTGGTTAAGTTGAAATGACTTTTTCAGGAAGAGTATTGTATCTAGTAAGGTGTGCAAAATGTTCACCTTAGTTTGGGTTTAAGAACCAATCCTTTAATATTGTGGTTGTTTTCATGAATTTCCTAATGAACATACTTTTTTTTTGAGACGGATTCTCACCATCACCCAGGCTGGAGTGTAGTAGCACCATCTTGGCTCACCGCAACCTCCGCCTCCTGGGTTCAGGCAATTCTCCTGCCTCAGTCTCCCGAGTAGCTGGGACTACAGGCGCGCACTACTGTGCCCAGCTAATTTTTGTATTTTTAGTAGAGACAGGGTTTCACCTTGTTGACCAGGATGGTCTCGATCTCTTGACCTCCTGATCCACCTGCCTCGGCCTAGTAAAATCTTTTATAAATAAGCTGGCTTTTGAATTATTGAGAAAGTATTAGTAATGCTGTGAAAATGTCCAGCATTGTTGTTTGCCTTTGTTGATCACGTGATTTCATGCTTATTCCTGCAGAATACGATGAAGATCTGTTACAAGGATTATAGAACTATACAACCCCGCCCAAGACAGAATGATCTTTGCTTGTGTAATTTTTGATAAAAAAGATGTGGAATAATTTGGTTTAATGAAAACATCTACATTCTGAGTTATTGGTAAAATACCCTTATATTTAACCTTAAGAAAATTACTTAAATAGGGTGGGCACGGTGCTTCATGCCTCTAATTTGAGAGTGCTTCAGGAGGCCGGGGAGTGCCGATCACCTGATGGCAGAAGTTCGAGACCAGCCTGGTCAACGTGGTGAAACCCTGTCTCTACTAAAAATACAAAGAAAATTAGCCTGTCTGGTGGCGGGCACATGTAGTCCCAGCTACTTGGGAGGCTGAGGCAAGAAATCACTTGAACCCAGGAGGTGGAGGTGGCAGTGAGCCCAGATTGCACCACTGCACTCCAGCCTGGGCAATAAAAGCAAAACTGTCTCAAAAAAAGAAAAGAAAATTAGGGCCGGGCTCAGTGGCTCACGCCTGTAATCCCAGCACTTTGGGAGGCCGAGGCTGGTGGATCATGAGGTCAAGAGATCGAGACCATCCTGGTCAACATGCTGAAACGCTGTCTCTACTAAAAATACAAAAATTAGCTGGGCACAGTGGCGCGTGCCTGTAATCCCAGCTACTCAGGAGGCTGAAGCAGGAGAATTGCCTGAATCCAGGAGGCGGAGGTTGTGGTGAGCCGAGATCGCGCCATTGCACTCCAGCCTGGGTAATAAGAGCGAAACTCCGTCTCAAAAAAAAAAAAAGAAAATCAAACACCTAAAATTCACAGCTATAAAAATGGTTAACAGGGATTTTACTTTAAATAATGACTATCACAGTTTTCATCATCTAGATAAAATATTAATCTTGTAAATGTAATGGAATAAATGGTTGTAAACAGACTTGTCATCTGATTTGGTATCTAAGGTTATTAACAGATATTAAGTAGCTGGGTAATTTCCAACTCAAAAAATGTAGAAAAACATTTTTTAAATGTTCTTATTAGGAGGTCAATGTCTAATTCAAAGCTTTTATAAAAGTTATTTATAAAATTAGGTAATAGGAACCAGGAAATAAGGGAAGAAAGTTAAAGATACAAAGAGGTATTTTTGATAAAGGTTAAAAAATGCAATTTTATATAAGAAGAAATCTTGTGTGGTAAATTTTTTTTCCTAAAATAAAATGACCAAGTTGTTCAAGAAAGAGAATATTTAGGCAAGACAGAAAGTCTAAGCATGTTGTGAATCATCTATATAAATTGATATTAAGATTAGTTAATGGAAACTTCGTGGGTTTTGTTTTTTAGGAAACAGGGTGGTATAATTTAGTTGGATATGAGTAAGGAAAATCCTAATAGTCTTTCCAGAGGTGGGTCTTTTATATTAACAAAATTACACAAATAGAAACTATAATTGGTTAAAACCAGACTTTATTTAAAATATTTATTTACTTATACGACAGAGTCTCTCATGCTGGACTGCACTGGTGCAATCTTGGCTCACTGCAACCTTTGCCTTTTGGGTTCCAGGAATTCCATCACAACTTTGCTTAAGTTTCTCTCCTTTCCCCAGCTCCTGGACTGTGCTCTGCCTTCAGTCTGAGCCAACATACAAACCCCGTTTATGCCCCTAAGAACAGGCTGACTTCTGGCTGACACATTCCCTGAGCTTGAATCTGATTTTGCCACTCTCCACTCTTCCACCTTCCTTCTAATCTTGTTTGCTCCTCCATAAAAAACACAGCCCTTTTCTGCATTTTATGAGATGCTTGCAGATCTGATGCTTGATTTCCCCATTGTAATACTCCTTTAGAATAGTCACGTCTTACCTACATCTGAATTTATTTGGCAATATCTAGAAACAGCCACAGGACAATAATAATTATTCCCTCACAGAGGACATCACAACCCGCCTCCTATTCTCAACTCTGATCATGTCTGCCTGTGTATTCCCAGCTTTCCAGCACTCTGTAGCTTCTCTCAGTATAAAGGCCCCGTCTATGGCTGCTGCAAGCAGGCTGGGACACCTGAAGGGGAGGACCCTCAGGAAGAAAAGACTGTGCTATTCATGAACTCCTTTGACATGTCTGAATACTAATACTGCAATTTGGGGGGAAAGAAAAAATATTATTTTAGAAACAAAAAAGTTGGCCGGGCGCGGTGGCTCAAGCCTGTAATCCCAGCACTTTGGGAGGCCGAGGCGGGTGGATCACGAGGTCAGCAGATCGGGACCATCCTGGTCAACATGGTGAAACCCCGTCTCTACTAAAAATACAAAAAATTAGCTGGGCACGGTGGTGCGTGCCTGTAATCCCAGCTACTCGGGAGGCTGAGGCAGGAGAATTGCCTGAACTCAGGAGGCGGAGGTTGCGGTGAGCCGAGATTGCGCCATTGCACTCCAGCCTGGGTAACAAGAGCGAAATTCCGTCTCAAAAAAAAAAAAAAAGAAAAAAAGTTATCTTTTAAAATCTAAAAAATTTAAATCATTGTTTTAAAAGCCTTACACAGGTCGGGTGCCCCTGTAATCCCAGCTACTTAAAATAAAACATTTATTTAAGGAGGGAGGCTGAGGCAGGAGAATGGCTTGGACCCAGGAGGTAGAAATTGAGCTGAGATCACACCACTGCCCCCTAGCCTGGCAACAGACTCATCTGAAAACAAAAAAAAAGCCTGACACCATTCACAGCTATCAGCCGACACACTAAGCAAGTATCTGTGAGTGGGCAGAAGGAGCCTTCGCTTTAAAGTGGTTTCTGTAACTGTTTACATTAAAAGGGACAGAAGAGTGAAGACTGTGTTGTTGCCCTGACAAGGTCCCATTCTTTATTATAAAGGGCAATCTTAGTTGTCTTTGAGTTAACTTGAATTGAGGTATTTCTTCTTTTGAAAATACAAACTTTTCTAGTTATTTAGCAGGAGAGGTGGTATTTTCCTGTCTTTTTTGGTGAGGGGTTCAGATGTTACATGGCCCCTCATTTCTTCCTTCAGGAGAGGATGGCCCTGGTGCGCTGAAGAGTAGTTACGTCATCAACGCTCACAGACCTGGTCATGCCAGTATAGAACACTTCGTCTTGTTCCATCCTTGATAAAGCCTAAGAATGTCAAATAGAAAAGAGGTACAATTTAAAAAAGGGTTCCACTCTTTTAAAAATCACCACTGATGGGAAGCCACACATGCAGATCCTTTAGTTCAGCTACAGCTACTTTGGCTGAGGTTTACACACCCCCTTCTGGCAGCTTACTTAGGCCATCTCCTTTCAGGGCTAGAATTAGATTGCGGAAGCAAAGGGGAGCTTGCTTTATTAAGTTACTTAAAAATTGGGCTCCCCAGAATGTCACTATATTGTGACAGGCTTCTAACAGTATTACCTGTTACCTGTGCACTTGTGCCTTAAAAATAATGAAAGCACAGTTTTGCAAAAAGTTTATTAATCTATTCACATTCTACCCAATCTATAAGTTATTATATACTCACAGAAAATTGTAACGGGGCAGGCATGTGCTGGACTGTATTGAAATGTCAACAAAGTCTAATGATTAGGCATCAAAAGGCACTACTTTTATGCTTATGGTAGAAAATTGTATTATTTTAAAATACTTCTATGATGCCACAGAACACGCCTATTTTAAATGTTGATGCTTGTCAACTGTGAGTAATTTTGCTGTGTACTTACCAAAAGTCACAAACCATAAATATTACTTTGTTCCATAAAAGTGATCATTTCCAGTAAAATCCCATGTACTTCCTGCAGCCAGTACTTGAGACACGCACGCCTCATACTAAGTGCATGTCTCTTGGCTTAGGCACTAATGGTTTCTCTAACACACCCATGGGACTGACTGCACTGTGGAATACACAGTAGAAAATGACAGAAATTTGCAAACCGAGTAACAAAAAGTAGTCAAGAGTGGTAAGTGCATTGTGGTATGTAGACATCATTAGAAATACAATGGCAAGAAATCATTTCTGTATATTATTTGCAAGGGCAAATGTTCAAAACGTTCAAATTCATTAAGAATAAATTTAATTTGATTAAAACATTCTGAATTATGGCCACAAAAGAGATAACATCTATAATTTCCCAAAAATGTGAATCCTTAGAAAAACCATAAGAGATATAGGAAATAGAATGCCAAAAGGTTAATAAGCTCTTCAGTATGTTAATTTTGAAGCTTTCCATTTTTCTAATCACTACTTCATATGACCTAGTCATAAATGTTGGCACTGGTGTTTGACTCAAAACCCACTTAGTTACTTCATAGCCTTACCTGCAGATCCCATGCTCTTTTTCTGTCAAGAAGGTAAGTAGGCGAACTCAGGCCATACCTCAATACAAGGTCACGAAGACGGAAGTAGCATCTGGTATAAACGCTTTTAGAAACGTTAGTATCATAATTAATTAGCTCCAAGAAGTATGTTTCCAACTTATTCCTGGGGAAGGAGAAACAACAGAACCAACACAGGACCATGTTAGTTCACTGGGCTATCTTCAAAAACATTATTCTCATGTAAGAAATGTGGTAAGGCTATCATGTGCTCTAGTTTATTAGAATTCATAAAATAACACACTGGACAGAACCCGATCTAGTGAAGTAATACAAGAAAGAGTGCAACTTTCCCAATTCTCTTTGAAAACTCAGAAAAAAACTTGTACCCGAAATGAAACATGAATGTAAAAAATGTTAATAAACTTGATTTTTCCTATGTTCCTTTTCAAAGACATATTCACATTTAACATGGAGAAAGATGATATAAACTTAAGAAACATGGTAAAGCCTTCAGTTTTTTATTTCTCTGAAAACATGAAAGGATTCAATGGAAAATTCCTTATAAATAGAAACATGTGTTAAGGTCTTCCCTTGTTCCAGTTCCACATGAAGATAAGAACTCACTTCTGAAATAAAACCTATGAATGTATAGAATGTAGAAATGCCTTCTTTTACATGATATTTGCTCCAAGACCCATGATAATACACACTGGAGACAGTGTGTATTCCTATGCCAATGTCCAAACAGGGCACAGCTGCTTGCAGTCCATTCTGAATCCAGCACCCCAAGATTGGGATGAGGAGAAAGGCAACGGCCTCCTCTGTACTTGTGCAGCTGACTCAGGGTCATTCTTGAGCGTTCTGTTGCACAACTCAGACTTCATGGTCACTCCCAAGACACCACAATAGTGATCAGATAATAGAAATGATGAATGCCATTTATTAGCTGTCACTATTATGGAGCAGGAATACTCTTTACACTTCGTGGTAGAAAGATCAGAGAGACATCTTGGCTAAACTAAACTCATTTTATGAGATGCCTTCTGGTAGGGCGCTGGCCTTACAACACACTGTTTCTCCTGAGTTGAGTTAGAAATGAAACCCCAAGGTGCTCAGCATATGTTGCCCCTGGCCACAACAGAATGTGGGGGTGAGTTGAATGCACTGAGAGGAAAACAGGCTCAAAGCAGCCCTCTGCAGCATGATTATTCACCTGTCCTGACCAAAGGTTGTTTTTGTTTTTCTGAGACAGGGTCACCCAGGCTAAAGTGCAGTGACATGATCCTAGCTCACAGCAGACTCAACCTCCCAGGCTCAAGTAACCCACGCACCTAAGCCTTTCAAGGCTTGGAACTACAGGCTCGTGCCACTTAACCGGGCAATTTTTAAAAATTCCTTTTGTAGAGACAGGGTCTCACTTTTTGCCCAGGCTGGTGTTAAACTCCTGTGATCAAGTGGATACTCCTACCTTGGCCTCCCAAAGTGCTGGTATTACAGACATGAACCACTGTATCCAGCACTTGGTCAAATGTTTAAATAAATACAAAATGAGAGTAATCTTCCCACTCTCATAGTAATCCCTGTCAAGACTTAATTGTATAAAACAATACCTCAACAGCACACTTGGTTTCTTGCTTTTAAAGTTTCAATGTTTTATCCACTGGCTAAGTCAACAAATGCTTGAAGTTCTCCGGTATGGAAAGCAGTTAGGATATAAGCAGACATGAGGTTTTCTCACTGGTTTCACTGAAAACCCAGCTGAAACTACTTCCAACATTAATTTCCTATTCAAATAACCACAAGGCTATGATGGGAATGTCAGTCAGATATGAATAATCAGCTGACCAGGACTTAATTTACTATAGGAACATATACACTTCACAATCTCTTTTGTGTATTTCCATAAACATATTTTAACTGTGAAATATGGTATTTCATAGAATGATGCTGTTTATTAATAGTAGTTATTGAAGACAACAATTATCCCTATAGAATATGTATCTCCTTAGTTTTTTTTTTTTTTTTTTGAGATGGAGTTTTGCTCTTGTTACCCAGGCTGGAGTGCAATGGAGCAATCTTGGCTCACCGCAACCTCCACCTCCTGGGTTCAGGCAATTCTCCTGCCTCAGCCTCCTGAGTAGCTGGGATTACAGGCACGTGCCACCATGCCCAGCTAATTTTTTGTATTTTTAGTAGAGACGGGGTTTCACCATGTTGACCAGGATGGTCTTGATCTTTTGACCTCGTGATCCACCTGCATCGGCCTCCCATAGGGCTGGCATTACAGGTTTGAGCCAGCGCACCCAGCCCCAATATGCAATCTTTTATCCATCACCCCCCTCCCAACCTTCCCCCTCTAGTCCCCAAAGGCCACTGTATCATTTTATGACTTTGGATTCTCACGGAGAATACATATTTGGTTTTCCATTCCTGAGTTACTTCACTTAAAATAACGACCTCCAGCCCCAACCAGGTTGCTGTAAAGGCCATTATTTCATTCTGTTTTATGGCTCAGCAGTATTCCATGGTATGTATATTCCACATTTTCTTTACCCATTAGTTGATGGGCATTGATGCTGGTTCCACATTTTTACAATTGTAAACGGTGCTGCTATAAACATGCATGTGCATTTGTCTTTTTCATATGACTTCTTTTCCTTTGGGTAGATACCCAGTGTGAGATTGCTGGATTGATGGCAGTACTGTTTCCACAGTGCTTGTACTAGCTTACATTCCCATCAGCAGTGTAAGTGTTCCCTTTGACCAAATCCGTACCAGCATAGATGATTTTTTGATTTTTAAATTATGGCCCATTCTTGCAGGAGTAAGGTGATATCACATTGTGGTTTTAATTTGAAATTCCCTAATAGTGATTTCTGAAGAAAAATACATCCTAACAAGACTAACAGATGTTGAAAAGTTTGAAGAAAAACCTGACACTAATTTTTAAAAGGTTCAATTTACAGTCAAAAAGAGACCATTATAAACAATCAACAGTAGAGGGACAAGATAAATGTGCATTACTTTGTTGTAATGTTTTTCAATCTCCAAAGATCGTGAGCATAGCTCCCGATGCTTCTGCGTTCACCAAAGGCACTATGTAGAACTGGTCATCTTGGGGCTGGCCTCTGTCATCACTGCCTCTGGAGCTCATATCTGTGGACACCTGCACATTTCTCTGTGGATTCTCTGTCCTTGGAACTAGAGCTAGAGCCCCGCCAGATTAGCTGCAGGTCTTGAGATCAATTTAACTGCCACTATAGTGGAGCTAGGTGTACATCATTACACATTTTGCTCCCTTCAAGAAACCAGTTTACAAGCTGGGCACAGTGGCTCACGCCTATAATCCCAGCACTTTGGGAGGCTAAGATGGATGGATCATCTGAGACCAGGAGTTCGAGACCAGCGTGACCCATGGAGAAACATGGAGAAACCCATGAAGAAAGAAATTAAATAACAGTAGTCTGTAATTGCTACATAATAAAAGTTTACTAATTCTGTTCAGTATAAAACCTAACCCCCAGCTCTGCTTGAAATTAACTAACTCCCTATCAAATCTACCTTATCTACTCTCCCTACTTTTTCAGCAAAGTTCCCAGGCATCTCAGGACTCCTGTTTTTCTTGCAGACCAGCTGCAAGGTCACAGGGTAATATAACACCAAAGAATGTGCAATGTGCTTCTGAAAATGCGATTTTCAAATGTAACATACATCACAAGACATGTCACAAGTTAGCTGTTCTTTCTCTGGCTTCTGGAAACCTGTTAGTTGCTATGTCATCCTGGCTGTATAACAAATCAAGCCCTGTCTTTGTTAGGCTCTCAGCCTGGGGATGCAAATCCGCCGAGCTGGTGGCCACTTCAATAAAATCCTCCTGTTTCACCCATTGGTCTCTCCAGGCTCCTGAATATTATGTAACAACCCATCTCTACTAAAAATAGAAAATTAGCTGGGTGTGGTGGCACATGCCTGTAATCCCAGCTACTCAGGAGGCGGAGGTTGTGGTGAGCCAGGATCCCCTCATTGCACATTGTTGCCTAGGCAGCAAAAGCAAAAGCAAAACTCCATCTCCCTCCCTCCCTCTCTTTCTCTCTCTCTCTCTCTCACACACACACACACACACTTCACTCACAAAAAGAAACCAGTTGACAAATTGATGACAGTAGTGATTAAGAGAACTTTAGCTTCTGCAACTTTCAAATGACGTTCCTTTTCTGTTAAATCCTTTACTAAAATGGCTACTAGCAATATCACCATGACAACTCAGTTTATACTATTGGCAAATTGGTAACTTAGCAGCCATTTGAAAAGCAACCAACCATCACTAGTCTCTTCTTGGTTACAAGAAGCCTCATTTCAACTGTAAATATACACTGTGTTAATTTTGAATGAAAGTCTTTAAAAATTTTTTGGGGTACATTGTAGGTGTATATAAAATTATTTGATACAGGCCTATAATGTGTCATAATCATGACAGGGTAAATGGAAAATTAATCGCACCTCAAGCATGTGTTTTTACTTTTTTATTTTTTTTTTTACAAATAATTCAATTATACACTTTTACTCTAAAATGTACAATTAAATAATTCTTGACTGTTGTCACCCTGTTGTGCTTTCAAATACTAATGTTTTTTATTCTTTCCAACCAAATGTGTGCACCTATTAACCATCACCCCTCACTCCTCTCATCCTCCATACTATTTTACCAGCAGCTGCAAACAATTCTCCTACTCTATATCTTTATAAAAGTTAAATTGTTTTAATTTTTAGTTCCCACAAATCAGTGAGAATAGGTGAATTTTGTCTTTTTGTGTCTGGCTTAGTTCACTTAACATTTCCATCCATGTTGTTGCAGATAACAGGATCTCATTCTCCTTTGTGGTTGAAGAGTGCTCCATTGTGTATATGAACCATTTTCTTTAGCCACTCATCTGCTGATGAATGCTCAGAATGCTTCCAAATCTTGGCTCCTGTGAAGAATGCTGCAACATACACTAGAGTGCAGGTATCTCTCTGACATACTGATTTCCCTTCTTTTGGGTTTATACCCAGCAGTGAGATTCCTGGATTAAATGGTGGCTCTATTTTTAGTTCTGAGGACCTCCACACTGTTCTCCATAGTGGCTGTATTTAAATTACATTCCCACTGACAGCGTACAAGGG